TACATACATACATACATACGGGCTAAGTGATACATCATGAGACGTGATTGCCATCAATGACCCGGTTTTGGGATAGAAGTATTTTCGTGTTGAGATCTTAAAGGAGCTCAGTCTCGAGATTTTGATTTATTTTGGCCACGTTATCTTTAAATTGAAGGAAACCTGAAAATAGAATTTTTCTGAGATGGAGAAAAGCCAAAGAGATAATAATCTATAGAGGAACAAGGATGGTTAAGGATGGAGAAGATTAACACGGTTACGAACGACGTACTTGAATGATTTAGAGTAAACTTTTCAAGATGGGCAAACCGTGATGTGGCTCCTTAGAAGTGCGGATACGAAAATTTCTGGTCTCGTGTTATTTTTTGCAAGACTCTTCTTGTCACCGTAGATAAATCGGGGAAATGGCAAGCACATGGTTTGCTTGAACATGTTACCTGCACACAACATGGAAGTGGGTTGACATAACCATTGTTGACTCCTCCTCATGAACCAGTGCAACTCAATATGATTGAAACAAGAATACAAGGAGAGGAGATAGAAAAATTTTATTTGCCGGCAATATTTTATGTCATGTTAACTCTCCGAAATGTTTCTGATCTGTAGTAATTGGAGGGGGTTGACATAACCATCATTGGCTCCTCCCCAATAACCAGTGTAACTCAATATTATTGTAACAGAAATTCAAGGAGAGAAAATACAAAAATTCTATTTGCAGGCAATACACATATTCTATATTAACTCTCCGAAATGTTTCTGATCTGTAGTAACTGGTATTCCTCCAGTTATCAAAGCCCAAGCCCAATCACTCAATCCGGGAATGCCCAATGGCACATAGGGCCTCAATAAGGATCCGAGCTGTACCATAAACACTAGCGCGTCAAGACTCGCCCAGGCTATCGATCATTCTGTCGAAAAGTGATCAAAATGATAACAACGAACGTAAAACTTTTGCCAATCAATGAAAACCACAAGAGATCTTGATAACCACTAATCCTATAATCTTTTAAGTTGTTTTGATGAAATGAAAGTGTATGTTAAACCACTAATCCTATAATCTTTTAAGTTGTTTTGGTGAAATGAAGGTGTATGTTAAGCCTTAATCCCTTAATATACATATTGAATATTTAAAAGTCATTTATGATTTAGGTGCAGTGCTATAAATAAACCGCCTTTAGTTTTTCTTGTGAGGAGTTGAGGTACAAGGAAGAAGCTGAAAGCACCTTCAAAATACAGTTTACATATGTGATCATTGACATCATGTAATCGAAGCAAAAGGAAAATCTACAATTAAAACGTGGCACCACTTGACAAGGCTTACTAGTGGACTTAGCTTCGGACATCATCTTTCCACCTCTTTGCTTTTTCCGTCTTTTCTTTCAATTGTTTTATCTGTTTTTCTCTGGCTTCTATTTTTTTCATCAGATCGGTATTTTCCTTTAATTGTTTTTGGTAAAGAGTCTCGACTTGTGTCCTTTCCTCTTCTGTATTCTCCAAGGTTTTGTCTTTTAAAGCGAGAGCTTCGTTCATTTTTTTCATTATCAGCTTATATTCTATGAGCTTTTCGTCCCTTTCTCTTCTTAAAGTCTCCACTACACGAGCGATGTCTCCTTCTTTTTTATTTCTCTCCCTGATGTATCTATTTCTTTTTTCAATCTTTTCCTTAAGATTTCCAATCAGATCATGGGCTTCTTGTAATGTCTGTCTTGATGCCACGTTGTCATACTCTAGCTTTCCTATTTCTTTCTTTTGACGATAAATTAAGCTGAGGTTTTGGCGAAACAGTTTACCTTGAGGAGTATCGGTGTCCTCAAGAGAAGACGGCATGCCGGGTTCGGTAAAGGACCTTGCTCGCTGTCGTATAAGCGGCATTCTTGGCAGTTCGGTCGTCGTGAGTTGATTTGCCTGATTGCGATAAGGATGATCTAAAGAAGCAGTGTTTAATTCTAGAGATTTGCTCGCATTCTTTGGAAGTTTCATGTCATCTTTGCCGTGACTCTGATCTTTAGGCCGCCTGGTTTTGGTTGCTGTAGATGTGTCGGGAAGAGCAACTTTCCTATGATCTGCACTTTTCACATTAATTATCTCTGGTTCGACCCACTCGATGCCGTCCGCAACTTCCCACATCAAACTTTTCTCGAGGTAAGTCTTACTTTCTGTTGGTCTGTCCTTAGATAAGAAGTCACTAACTTTGTAATTGTCCTCTTGCTTTACAAAGGGCAAAGAAGTTACCATTCCCTCTGTTGCCATATTGGAATCGCTTGATGATGATTTACAACACGTTGTTAAATACTGCCTGAATTTGTAAATAGCAGCAGGTAAGCGCTGTTTATGTGTAGTGACCTTTACGCAGTCACTCGATAATTGAAATCCAGTTATGAATCGATATGAACACTCATTTCGTGGCTGTTTGGTCCGTGTTGTAACACTGCAAGCAATTTTCACTTTCTGTTCTACGTTGGCAACGCCACAAAAAGACAATAATGTTTACTTCTTAAGAAAATATCGCATGTAATTAACACGTATAGACGTCAATTTATTGAGCAGGGCATCACAAAAGAATTAATTTCACTCCAAAAGCTTCAAAAGAATGACAAGTCAGTTTGAGTGATATGAGATTTGTTGTCATTTTGTAGCCAACACGATAAATGTTCGTAACTGTTATTATCTTGAAATCGTACTTCACCGGCTATCAGGTTGACAAATCTCGTGTCAATGTCCACCTTATTGGTATTCGTAAATTGGGGCACGACTAGCATGCAACAACGATGTTCAGTCTTACTCGAGTCTTAGTCACGTCTTAAGCTTACACAAAACGAAGCTGTAGCATTTCATAACACTCTAGTGTGGTTGGGCTCAATAACTCCAAGATGAAATCAACCTGTCTGGTCAAACAAATACTTTATTTAACATCAGACGTATTGATTGCATAATTTAAATTCCGTTATGTTATATGCCTGCCAGTAAGCCGCGGAGCTGATTGGCTGGTCAAATGTTACAATCGTTTTTATCAGGAAATGTTAAGCGAAACGTGCTGCTATACACACTCCAAAACTGTTCAGTACTTTGTACAAGAAGTCATACATTCAAAACGCTTTATATGTACGTTTTGCACAGTTTACATGAGACACCAAATCAACTCCGCAAGCCGAAACAAAACTCACGTGTACGATATGAACTTTTTAATTAACGTTCAATTATGGAAACTTTTGTTAGTCACAGCAACGTACAAACGAAAACAAATTACCCAAACGTTGTTAACAACAGGGATAGTGGTAAACCAAGCTCGGGAAGAATAACACTTTCTCGCGGACTAGAATAACAGATGATGATGTTTCGACTAAATGGAAGGCAAGTTCAACAAACACATCAGCTATATTGTTTGTATATTTATCTAGTGTCATTCGTCATGGGAGAATTAACATGGTGTCATGGCATTGTGGAAAAACAAACACATGGCACAAACTAAGAGCTTTTCTCCGGGGATTAAGATTTTGTAGGGACAGCTGTAGAGAGTGTTTTGTAGTCCAATAAGAAGATTTAAGTGTGAGCTAATGGACCATTTATTGCAGTTGTAAGTGGAATGACTTTATAGATTCTTTTCTGCAGTCGTTGGTGATAAGGAGTCCTGAAATCAGAGGTCAACGCACAATATAGCAATATATCACTGGTCAGTAGCAAGGTTTTACGAACGAAGCTGCTGAGAAACCACAACCTCCCGGCTTTATAAACGAAAACAAAAAGCTGTGAATGCTTTTCTAAAAACCACTAGAGCTTTTGTCATGAATTAAAACGATGAAGAAAACAACATTGAGTCAGCAGCATAGAATAATGAAAGAAAATGGTGACACACTGCTTTCACTTGAGAAGAGTAAAGTCGACATCATGAACGAAGTCGCCAGGGCGTACCACGAAATAGATGAACTGAAAGCAAAGCTCGCCAAGAAAAACAACGCATTAAAGAACTCCCAAGACTTCCAAGACACTCTCTCGCTTCAGGCAGAGAAACTGAGATTTGAAAAGGAGCAGCTCAATCAAAGATGCGAGAACGCGATCCAAGAAATGATGGATCGTTTGCGTGTTAAAGAGGCTGTCATCGGACTGGTGAGGGAGGAGATTGAGAAATACATCAAACTGCGGCAGGAGGTCATGCATAGGAATGAAGTGCTAAGGGAACGGTTGGAAAAACGGGAGAAAATAGCCACTGGATTAAAGACAAAATTGACAATGCTAAGTAGTTGGACAGTGCGAACTACAAGCAGTGCGCAACTCAGTATGGGCAATCAATCGCCAAGTGTACATTCGAAAAGTCCAAAGTAAGCTTTGATGCTGGCATCAAAGCCAGCAAACCAGTTTTAACAGGTTTACTCACCGACCAGCCCGTTCAGGGTCTCCCGCTCAACTTCAGAAGTTACAAGAATGAGACGAAATCGAAGCTTTCCCCTAAGCGTTCAATTGTTGATCCAGTCTAACTGAGTGACTATAAAACGAAAGCGTCCCAGACAATGTACAATTAATGATGAGTACTGAGAGTGGATCAACTAATGCCCGGGTATTTGACGCCGATATTTAAACAAGAGAATAATACATACGTACAGTCTCTCAACGTCTAGATGGTACATTAACGGACAGTGTATGGCTAGACAGGATGTAACCAGTTGATTTGGATCCAAAATAAAGCATTTGTACCACCTAATGAACCGTTTATAACACTTCCCATCGTAGACTACATAAAGTGTTCGTGAATCAACGTAAGACATCCTGATAATACGTTTTAGCATATCAAAGTTAGAGACAATAATTGTCAAGAACTCCGTCGTTCCTAGGTAAATTTATACTGATTTTTCGTTGGCTTAATTACCATGTTTGCTTCAATTTTCACGCCTCGACACGTTTGTCAACTCCCTAATCGGCCGAATCAAACCTTTGTGACGAAATAATTTATTCATCATTAAAACAGAGATTGAGTTCACTCCATGTTTTAACACTGATTTAGAGCGGCGTGGGATAAAGATGTTTTATTGACAATTCAAGGGTGCAATAAAATCGCATAGCAACCAATGGGCAAAAACAAAACGCCATGACGTACGAGGAAGTTGTAAAAAGGAAGGAAGTCATATGACTCTGACGTCGCATTATCATTCGACTGTCGTGAGAAATCTATACTTAGGACAAATGAAACATCACTTTTATAATTGTATTTTTATGTTATCACGGGATCTCCGTCTTAAGATCATTTAAGATGCAGATAATGACAGTTCAATTAACTGTGGAGCCCACTCTCTAAGCACCTGTCTGGGAATAACTCCGCCCGCCATTCTCGCCCCCTCGGGGTTTAGGCTCTATCCATTCTACGCGCTTTATTTCTCCGGTTAGGCCTTTCATCCACAATAATCCGTCACGAAAAACGGAGTTTTTCGAAAACGCTCTTCAAAACGGAGGAATTTGAAAAACGCCGGCTTTGCGTCTTAGTGTGGACGGAAAACATTTTGAAAACGAAGCTTTTCGTAAACGATGACGTAACGATAATCACGTGATTTCCCTGCCCGAGCTTTACTCAAACACAAATGCAAAATGACCGCTGATTGTTGTGTTTTCAATTTCCTCGGAGTATGAGCGTAGGCTGTGTTGTGTCTTTTTGTGTGTGTGAAATTATTTTGGTGTTCTGAAGGAAGAGAGTCATCCTGTCTCGAGTTAAAATACAAAATGGAAAATTACTGCGCTGAGATACACATCATGCACTGGACTGAAACTGAAATGTTTATTATGAAAAAAAATAAAACTCTCCTGGTCACTAGACGGAAACACTCATTATTAATATTGAATTTAAACTGCCATTCGTCTTAAATCGGAATTATACACGAAGAAAAACAAGAAATGCTGCATAGGCCGTGCAGTCCAGTATTTTTTCATGTCTTCTAAAGTTGAGTGAATTTCAATTGGAATTTTGTGCAACTCAATCAACAAAAATTTGCACGACTCATACTCTCTTAAAAGGTGTTACTTACATTGGATATTGCATTTGCTTTTAAGATTTCACGTATTTCAACATTCTTTGAGTCACATAAGTGCAATTTGCAATATTGGCTGTACAAACGGAAAATGTTTTAAAGGAACTGGCGAGGACACTGTTATGGAGTTGACGAGAACTGAAAACTCTGGGCTATTATAGCTCTTCAAACTATTGTTCCAAAAGATTTTCAGGGTTGTGCCACTCACTGTTATCTAATACGGTAATTAAAAATCAAAACAATGGCATCTGGTCAAACACGAGAAACACAAACAGCGAAATAAACCAATCAGAACACAAAACAAAGGCATGCAACCAGTGCCAAGCGCAGGAAAACGTGAGCCGGAAAAACGTGGCAGTTATGACTCCTTAAATTGTAAAGCTAAAATAGGTAAGGTACTGAGACTGCATACGAGCCAAGTGGACCTTCAGGCCGGAGCTTATCCCGGTTTCTCTAGCATGAAGCGACCAGGAAGATCTCTACTTCACCATAGATTGGATGCTAGTTCATCACAAGGTTACACCCTGTTCCCTGCATTAAAATCTCCGGTACCCATTTATACACTTGGTTGGTGAGAGGCACTGTGAGAGTTAAGTGTCCTGTCCATAGTGTCTTGTTCAAGAACACAACTAAATGTCTCCAGCCAGGGCTCGCACCTGGACCGCTCGATGCGGAGTCGAGCGCGCTAACCATGAGGCCACCGCGCCTCCTAAAATTAAATTATAGAGCATGTAGAATTTAGCCAGACCAAGTATCACAAAACACTAATCACAGAGCTCAGTGAGCAAAAGAGGAGGAATATTTTGACTACTCCCCTCACGCGGGAATTACGAAACAAAAGTGAAGTGACACTGATTCACATTGTCTATGTTCGGATATATTCGAAAATTTGGGTAGTTCTGCAAACTGTGAGTTACTAAGTATAATATAAGTCATATAAAATATTCTGGTAGAAGCACGTTTCATTCTCGCTGTTTTTTCCTATTTTGAGAGAACTGTGGAATATTACCGTTCAAACCACCAGTAATAACAGTTACCTACGCATCTCCAAGTCGGTAAACAGTATTCGCGGTGGGTGGATACTAGGTGACTTTTTTCGAGTTCTAGAACTTTCTATGACGTTATCATCAAATATTATTACACGCAGGAAACAGTATTTGAATCTTTGCGAATTAAGTTATTGATTTTGTGATTAATGAAGTCAAGTCTGTAGACATTTCGTTTTTTGAACTGCTTGGTACATGTAGGAGGAATAAAAGGCTTTTTCGGAAATATTTCAAACTCACTGTCATTATTACACGATTGACCACAAGACGTCATCACGGTTTTTGTAATATTCCGCTGTCTTGTTTGAAGAATGGCTGATGATCAAGATACCGTACCGCCCAAATCAACGCGCCTTTCGTGACTTTTGGTAGTTTCCGAATTCAATTGTCTCACATCATTTAACACCTTAGTTTGAATTGCCTGAAGTTTGGAAAAAAAAAAAAACTTTGCACTAGTATATAGATATCAACGATCCAGACATATAATAGTTGTACAGAATGACAAACGTTGACGACAACTACTTGGAAATGTTCTTTTAGTCCATAAGAGAAAGTTATTCATTAAAAAAATCCCAGATCAACCTGTTATTTTACGTCATGATATTGCTACTGTAATTTTACTTTGAAAAAGGAATTTAATGATAGATGACATTATGATGTCACAGATGTTTCTCAAAGGTATATCTTTCTTCTGACCAAAAACTGCTTTCTACAGAGGTAAACCTGCAGGGAAGAAATAAAACATTTCTTGAGTAGTTGTAATTTTCTCTGAGTTTCTGTTGACCTTATTGGCGCCGTGTTTCAGAGGGCCTGACAATGCCTTGTTGCATACTTAGAATTCATTTCTTTGAGAGCACGGACCGCAATTCCGCTCTCTCAAAAAGCAGTGTTATTATAATACTCTATCGTGTTCGAGCACATAAAGGAAATGATAATGACGATGATTGCGGTGCAGACAGTGGAGTGTTTTTGACCTTCTTGTACTTTGGAACCGCCCTTGGCTGTCTGTTGTTCTGAAAACAAACTTAGCACCCACGGATTCACGAATTTGGCAACTTCAGCAGAGCTGAGTGGGGATGAAGCAAGCGAATAATCGACGAAGTCATTCTAAAGGAAGAGAGCAGTTATTTTAATAGGCTAGTTAAGCCCGTTTCTTCCTTTTCATAAGTGTACGGAAGTTATCTCAAGGGAGATGACGGTGTTTTGTTTTTTTAAAAGTATGCCTGTAACGTGATCACTAAGAACAACTTTTCATTTGTAAAACTGGGCTTCCAAAAAAAGAAAATTTTAGTGAGATAAAAGAAACTTAACCATCGCATTTTTTGTGTTTCTATTGACATATAAAGAAGTTGGCTTGTATAGCCTGAATACCTCAGAGTTCTGCATCAGCAAACACCTTCAAGGTCTCAAGTTTATTAACACTTTGTAAACACTACATCACAACACAGTTCATTGGCGATTACCAAGAGATTTATTATCCTTTTAACAAGGTGTTGACAATATTTCATAAAAATACACTTAGGCAAATTGTTAAAATTACAGAGCTGTTAGAAGAATTCTATCGAAAACAACATCGAAATAAACGCTACAAATCGAGTTGTTTGCCTCAAGGCTCTTAAATATATTATCCTTTTAGTCTCTTCATGGCATACCTGAAATTCCTTGATAATTTCACTTGTGACGCTATAATGCTCTATTTCCCACCGCATACATCAGTCCAACCAGGTAATTGTGGCGGTAGAAAGAAAGTTCCCAGCGGTCAACAAACACACTTACCACTGGTAGCAATATTCTTAATAGCGGTCCATTAAGACGGAATCACAGCTTAAATAACAAAGCAAAGAAGTGGCAAGGCAATTGCTTCTATTGAACATTGTGCGGAACCGTGTCCGTCGTTTTGACCGTCGTTGTTCAACTCCTCGCCATGAAGACGTCTACGCTGCTACTCGTTTTTGCGTCAGTCATTCTGATATTGTTGTCGTTCCCTGAAGAAAGTCACGGTGTCATTTTCGTTCTTACTCACGGCAAAGTAAGAGACCTCCAACGGAAGGGACACGACCGAAAGCTGAAAAGGCGCGGAGAAAAAAAGCGAAGGAACAGGAATCGCAAGAGGAAACAACAAAAGCAGTTAGAGAGAAAGAAGCGTAAGGAACTCAAACGGTGGTTAGCACGGTTTTCAAAGAAAGTAAGTAGCGAGTCTGGTGTGTAGACATAAGACTTACAGCATAATAAAGAGAATAATTAATTCAGAACTAGAAGGCTAATACAGCTAAGTGACTGTTCCGTTTATGAGCGTCGATAATGAACTGTTTATCACGTCTAGGATGAAATCGGTGTTACACTCAAATTTACTTTTAGTGTTTTTTGCACTGATTGGAGAGATCAGCTTGAAAGTGACACATCTTTTTCGCTGTGAAAGACTTAGCTCTAACCCAATGTGCATCTCATTGCTTAGGGATTATGGAAATTTTATCGATACTTTCGGCCCATGCGGAATAATAACTACTTCGAACGCCTCGCAGCTCAAGACAAGTTGTTAATCGTCTTATCAAGCTGGACGTTCGCAACTGTTAGAACACGGAAACAAACAAACATAACTCAAACAACGTCGGCTTTAGCTTTTTATGACAAAGCGAAGTAAATTCATATAACACGTTATCTTCTGTAATAACTCAAGCGGCAGGTAAACATTTATGGAATGAATAGACAAGAGAGAACAGTAATTTATAAGTCACCCAGTTGTTCGAGAACTTAAGAATGAAAGCAGTCGGTTCCCATAAAAAGTTATATTTTAAGTGAGTTTCAAGCGATTCACAAGCAATCACTCAATGATCTAAAAGATAAAGCAGCATTACAGCATTGTTCACAGTTCGCTGCTCGTGGCTCGCTGAAAAATTCAATAATATCTAAACAAA